ATTGACAGAGAGGTTTAATAAAACATTGTGTGAAACCTTGGCAAAATATGTAATACAAAATGAAAATTTAGAATGGGATCAATTTGTACCATCTGCATTATTTGCATATCGAACAAAAATTCAAAAATCAACCAAGTTCTCACCGTTCTTCCTTTTATATGGAAGAAATGAAGAAACACCCTTGACAAGAAAGAGTAACCCTGAAGAAGACGATTTTGAATGGGACCTAGGGGAACACATAAAATTGATTACTGAACGGTTACACCACGTGCATATGACTGCCAAACAAAATATAAATAAAGCACAAACAGATCAGAAGGACAGATATGATAAGAAAATAAAACCTGTACAATTCAAGATAGGAGAACAAGTATTATTACGAGAAAGCCACCATGAAAATGTACATGGGGATAAGTTTAGAGAAAAGTGGTCAGGACCTTATCTTATTCACCAGGTTTGGAAAAATGGAGTTTATAAGTTACGTGAGATTGAAACAACAAGAATATTGCGAACACCAATAAATGGGAATAGATTGAAGAAATATTATGACAGACCGGCCTGGGAACCAACCATATGGATAAATTAAAAATAGATATTGTTTCAGGATGAAACACAGATAAGAAAAGAACACAAAGACAGAAAACAAATAATGTCAGAAGATGACAACAAATAAAGCCACCTAGACAAAATTTCATTCAGAGAATGAGATAAGACAATATTCGTAAAACATTAGTCATGATGACAAAAGGCTGACTCATCAGAAGATAAGAAATTGTAACCAAAACAAAGAGTCAGGGGGAATAAACAGAGCAACAGGATAAGATGGAAACACGAAAAACAATTAGTGAGGGAATTCTTATAAAAAGACAGAGAATCTGACCAAGAGACAAAATAACTTTTCAGTTAACAATTAAATAATTAAATGCCTAAAACCCCAAAACAAATATTACCTAATAAAGAAAAAAAACTTTATATATCAAACGCAAAGTCCGAAGAAGACTCACTGCAACAAAACAATCAATAATTATAATTATAATCAACCACAAGCAGAAATTCTTTCAAACCGACCAGTTAATCATTGGACAGAGGATAAAGACAATAATAAGTGGGAATATTTTGAATTCTTTACAACTCAACTAACAATATCGCTCAACGAATTTCAGAGGACACAAAATTGGTATTATTGGAACCAATTTCAAAGGAATCACCATCTTTTAAAGAACTTAGTTCATAATTCAATAAACTTAACATATTACAGTCCACAAGAGGCCAGGTTATTGAATGACATTGCGAAAAAGGGAAACACCCAAGGAACACAAACAGGAAAAGAAACTCAAACGAACAACTAATAAACAAAAACTCGAACTTCAACAATTAAACATTAGGATTAGGAATTTGACTAAGGCATATCTGTTGCATAGACAACCAACCCAATTCATCCTATTGGAAAAATATTGTTTGCAACGGAATCAACTTAGACAACAATATTGTAAATCAAGATGAACCCTGTGATTAAGTTCTTGTCAAAAAAAGTATTGGCTGAAAAGCCAGGACCCAGAAGACAAATACTGTGTGAATTTCTAATAGAAGAAATAAATCAAACACTAGGCGTACCAGAAGCAATTGAACCATCTTTTGACAGTACAACAACACCAATAACGGATCAGCAAACAGGACTAAAGGAAAATGAAATTATCACAAGAACAGAAACTATCACTGCCTTGAAAAAGCCTGAAGAAGGAAGTTCAAGTAGTGCTGCCAGACAAACAACTTTAATTGTCAATCGTGTTCACATTGATCAAAATTACTCAGTGATTGAGGAATTCCAACCAATAACATTTTTGAAATATAAAAATCAGTCATTGCCATGCAAATGTGACAAGAAAGTACTACAACAAAAGGCCAAGGAACATTTCAATTGGACAACTGCAACAAGGCGAATGAATTATCACTGTTGCAAGTGTAAAAGACCTACAACCAAAATGGATACAAATGATGGTTGGAAATGGGGATATCACCAACTGTGCAACTCTTGCACCAAAAATGAATCTTATGATATCACTCAGGAATCATGGTATAATTCACCATGCAAAGTTTGTGACTTACCTATGACTACAAAAGTCAACATCAGTTGGCAAAATGATGTTTGCTCTTACATCTGCAAATATGCATACTTATCAGTAGTAATGGCAAATAATTTTCAACATGTGCCACAAAAAGTCAAGAATTATATTGAAACAAAGAATTGCTCAGAAGATGAGGGAGATGTTCTAAAGGCTGCAGAAGCCTATTACATCAAACTTCATGGTCAACCAGCAGAAATCGAATATCATCAACAATATCACACCAATGAAACATGGGTTGATGCTCAGGAAAGATTGCAGGAAGAGTATGACCAATTAATGGAAAGAACAGCAGATTTCTTCCATGATTATCGAGAAGAATACTCTATTGAGCAGGAATACATTGATCGAATGAACCAAGCTTTCCATGACCATAGAGAAGCAATTGTGGAAAAATTACCAAAGCTTCTGAATTTAAGAAAACATCATACTGGGGAGGATGATTCTAGTATGCATTTCACAACTTGGAAAGTTAGTATTATGTTAAACAAATGTGCACAACATGGATTTAAGAAAAATTTGAAATGACATACGAAAACGAATTCTTGTTTGAAAAAAAGAAGAGGAATAAACCCATCTAAATCACAAAGAACAAACAGTAATTGGTATTTAAATCTTTCGCATCCTATTTTATATATATATATTAATGCATTTTATACATGATCCTTCTGCAAGATTATTTGAGTCAAAACCAAACCTATGCTAAATGGATATTGTAAATTATAGATCACGGAAACTAACATAAATCGGAAATGATTTACCTGAAATAATTCTACACGGAAGATTTTAAGGAATATATTAATTAGTATAATTTAGGATTTCAAAGAAATCGAAGGACTAGATGATAGAACCTTTAACATGTATAAATACATTGTAAATTTCTCTTTTCATGAAATCTTTAGTTTTTTTTTTAATTATTATCTTGTAACAACAATAATATTCTAATAATAAAATACGAAATATCTCTTAAAATAACCTCTTGCCAGTAGAATAATCCAAAACCTTTCGCCCTAACTAACTCAATTACTTAATTAATTACTGTCTTACCAAGAGGACGCCTTTGATAAGTATAGTTGTGTGTATATTTTCTTTTAATTATTTCCTTTATTTTTATTTAGATTAGGCCAACGCCTAAGAAGTGGAAACCCTAGCTAGGTGCGGTCAGTTAAGATACTGAGCCATAAATATAATTAATAAGTATAGAAAGTATCAAGGCGGATACTTAAGATATTATAAATATCATTGAGACATACCGGCTCAGGCAGATAACAAAGGACTGCTGAGAAAACGTTACCGGACGGGAAGTAATAAAACTTGCCCTACAACGGATTAATAGCTTGAGTGCTATTACTGCCATAAAATACAGAGAGAGTAATTAAGAATTAAATATTTGGATACTGCCATATAAACGAAATAAATACTATTTTAACCAAATCAAGAGATTTGTGTGAGACGCGGATTTTGATCTCACAATATTTAAAATAAAGCGGCGCATATTTAAAAATTGTGTACAAAATTTATTTTGTGGTTTTTCAAATTTTGTGCGCACAGAAAACTATCAAAAAAAGTTTTTGATTTCTTCACAATAATAATAATAATAATTTTACTTCCATAATAAATAAAAGTTAAAATGTCATTTAATAAATTATTATCACCAGAAAGAAGAAAATTTGTAGTTAAAATTCGTAGTGAAATGTATAATAATGCTCTATTGAATTCTAGTAGAGAAAATAGAAAAGATTATTTTTTTTCATCAGTCAAAGAAAATAAGGATCTTCTTGAAAATGAAAAACAATTTTGTAAAGAAAAATTTATTTATGATTTTGAATTAAATATTGCAAGAAATAAAAGGGGCAAACCAAAAGAATGCAACAAATGTAAAACAACAAGGTACTCAGATAGATTCTGTGAAGGTTGTATTAGCTTACAATTACAGAGTCGTTTCACCACTTGGACATCTGGAAATAGCATAGTTAATGACTTTATTCAACAATGTCAAATGAAATCATCCCTGCCATATTATATTTTAGAATGGATACCTTTTGAGCAATTTGAAGAGGTAACAAAATCAACAGAAGGTGGATTTAGTTCAGTTTACACTGCTATATGGACAAGGGGATGTATTGATGATTATGATGAAAATAGAAAGGAGTTTAGTTACTTTGGAAGGCAACCAGTAGTATTAAAATGTTTAAATAATTCAAGTAATCCAGGAAAAACATTCTTTGATGAGGTTTGTAGCTTTTATTTAAGTCAAAAAATAAATAACACTATATTATACAATGCTAATTGATTTTATATTTAATTACAGGCAATGAATTATTGTAAAATTAAATCGCCAATGATTGTTCCTTGCAATGGTATAACTAAATTCCCAGATAATGGAAATTATGCAATGGTTCTTGATTATTATAGTGAAGGAAATTTAAGGGATTATTTACAAAAAAATCATTCTAATTTAACACTAAAAGATAGAATTACAATCTTTAGATATTTATGTGATTCATTAGATGATATACATGAAAAAGATTTAATTCATTGTGATTTGCATAGTGGTAATATATTATTGCAAGGAGGTAATTGTTATATTACAGATTTAGGATTATGTAGACCAGTTGATGAAAAATCATCAAATAAAATCTATGGAATTATATCATATGTTGCACCTGAGCTACTTAGAGGCAAAATCAATGCAAAGAACACAAAAGAAACAGATGTTTATAGTGTTGGGATGCTTATGTGGGAAATATTTGCAGGCCATCCACCATTTGATGATAGAGGTCATAATCATTGTTTAATTTTTGATATATGTGAAGGTTTACGACCACCAATATTACCTGAAATGCCTGATGATTATTTGCAGATGATGCAGAAGTGTTGGGATGTGGATCCATCAAAAAGACCAACTATTAGAGAACTTCGGAAATTTGCTGACAATAAATTAAAAGAAATTCTTGAAAACAAAAGTTTGAAAAATAATAGTACCAAAAATAATAATAATTTAATAAAAAGATTATTCAAATTTTCTAAAATTAAAAAAAAACATGAATTTGATTTTAATGATGATGGTGGCAGTGACAATGGTGGTGGTAGTAGTGATTCACAACAAGCACACAAATCACATCCAGATGTGTATCATAAAAGTAGAATATTAGATGATGAGATTGCTAAGTCAAAAAGCTTAAAAAGTTATACAAGTAACAACAGTTCATTAAATAATCTTGATATCAACTCTATTCTCTTAAATGTTGATTTTAACAAAGGTAAATAAATATAAATCCATTAATAAATTAATTAAATTATTAATTGTTAGTTTACTATTAACAATATTTTTATTCTCATTTAATTAATTAATTAATAAATATTAGATTCTAGTAATAATAATTAATAATAATAAGGGGAAAGGTGTTGAAATATCATTTGATGATTAATTTTAATCTATACTATAAATTTATTCATTATATAAATCATGCATGTAAGATTTTTAGTATGCACCTAGGTCACAAAAAAAATCACTTTTTTTTTAATAAATTTTAGTCCTTTAAAAACTTTGTTGGTCATAATGTATTTACAGCATCTAATATTTATTAATCATAATGAAATCGAGCCTTCAAGTGATTCTGAAAGCGAAAGCGAATTTATACTAACCATCACGTTTTATAAAACATTGTTGAAGATAGTGATGTTACTGAGAAGAGAGAATGAGGAACTAGATGTCGAAACTAACATAAAATTGGATTCTAGTATGCATTTCCCAACTTGGAAAGTTAGTATATTAAACAACGAGCACAACAACAAGGATTTAAGAAAAATTTGAAAATGACATACGAAAACAAACTCTTATTTGAAAAAAAAGAGGGATCAACCCAACTAATCACAAAGAACAAACTGTAATTTGTATTTAAATCTTTTGTGTCTTATCTTATGTATATATATATATATCACTACATTTTATACTTGATTCTTCTGCAAGAAAATTTAAGTCAAAAAAACATTTACCAAGCCCATGCTAAATGAATGTGTATAGATGGACATTTAAAACCTCTTGCAATAAAACGATGCATATTAAAATTCGTTATAAAAATTAAATTTTGTGTATAGGTACGCAGAAACCAATTTTATATATAGTTGAAATTGTAAAAAAATTGGGATATACAAAGTGAATCTCGGTTTAGCGGATATTGAAAATTTCTCCAATTGCTCAAACTACTGTTCATTGTGTACCCGGGATCTGCAGCTGTTCACAAGCAAGCTGTTTATTTTAGTTTCAATCCACAACAAGATTTTGAGTTAGATGTACTTGTGGATGAGGTTATCGACTTTCAGCAACGTGAAGGTTGAAAGTGCGTCGTAGATCTTTAAATGAAACTTTAACAAAAGAAAATAAATAGAATCAGTTATCCAATGATGAACCGAAAAGATTATCAACGGTATATATTTATAATTTGATCATTGATATATATATTATTATTGATTTATGCATTTAAATGGTTTAAATGATGGAATCTCTTTCTATGATCTATCATATAAAAAGATCGCATTATGTACGATCTAAAATGGGAAACCTTCTAATTTTTTTATAGTCAAATATCCGAGGGTTTTTTTACAAATATTTAAATAATGATTGTAGTATGTTGTTTTTCTTTAAAATCAGCAAAAAAAGGACACCAGCTAATTGCCAATACCTTGAGATTAAAACACGTTTTAATAGTTAAAGCTTTATTATTCTAGAAATTAAAAGAAATATTATTATTATATTTTTTTTTATATCAATGACTTTCTATTACTGTTGTTGCCATTTAATGTCGTGCACAACCAATTGTGAAATGGCACACCAAATCTGCTGGTACATGACTTTTCCGTGAATCCTGACCATCCCAACTACTAACGGTATCAACCCAGCTAGTACAGAAATGTTGGCCCGACAAATCTACTCATGAGGCATTATTATACATTTCACTACGAATTTTAACTACAAATTTTCTTCTTTCTGGTGATAATAATTTATTAAATGACATTTTAACTTTTATTTATTATGGAAGTAAAATTATTATTATTATTATTGTGAAGAAATCAAAAACTTTTTTTGATAGTTTTCTGTGCGCACAAAATTTGAAAAACCACAAAATAAATTTTGTACACAATTTTTAAATATGCGCCGCTTTATTTTAAATATTGTGAGATCAAAATCCGCGTCTCACACAAATCTCTTGATTTGGTTAAAATAGTATTTATTTCGTTTATATGGCAGTATCCAAATATTTAATTCTTAATTACTCTCTCTGTATTTTATGGCAGTAATAGCACTCAAGCTATTAATCCGTTGTAGGGCAAGTTTTATTACTTCCCGTCCGGTAACGTTTTCTCAGCAGTCCTTTGTTATCTGCCTGAGCCGGTATGTCTCAATGATATTTATAATATCTTAAGTATCCGCCTTGATACTTTCTATACTTATTAATTATATTTATGGCTCAGTATCTTAACTGACCGCACCTAGCTAGGGTTTCCACTTCTTAGGCGTTGGCCTAATCTAAATAAAAATAAAGGAAATAATTAAAAGAAAATATACACACAACTATACTTATCAAAGGCGTCCTCTTGGTAAGACAGTAATTAATTAAGTAATTGAGTTAGTTAGGGCGAAAGGTTTTGGATTATTCTACTGGCAAGAGGTTATTTTAAGAGATATTTCGTATTTTATTATTAGAATATTATTGTTGTTACAAGATAATAATTAAAAAAAAAACTAAAGATTTCATGAAAAGAGAAATTTACAATGTATTTATACATCTTTCTGGTGATAATAATTTATTAAATGACATTTTAACTTTTATTTATTATGGAAGTAAAATTATTATTATTATTATTGTGAAGAAATCAAAAACTTTTTTTGATAGTTTTCTGTGCGCACAAAATTTGAAAAACCACAAAATAAATTTTGTACACAATTTTTAAATATGCGCCGCTTTATTTTAAATATTGTGAGATCAAAATCCGCGTCTCACACAAATCTCTTGATTTGGTTAAAATAGTATTTATTTCGTTTATATGGCAGTATCCAAATATTTAATTCTTAATTACTCTCTCTGTATTTTATGGCAGTAATAGCACTCAAGCTATTAATCCGTTGTAGGGCAAGTTTTATTACTTCCCGTCCGGTAACGTTTTCTCAGCAGTCCTTTGTTATCTGCCTGAGCCGGTATGTCTCAATGATATTTATAATATCTTAAGTATCCGCCTTGATACTTTCTATACTTATTAATTATATTTATGGCTCAGTATCTTAACTGACCGCACCTAGCTAGGGTTTCCACTTCTTAGGCGTTGGCCTAATCTAAATAAAAATAAAGGAAATAATTAAAAGAAAATATACACACAACTATACTTATCAAAGGCGTCCTCTTGGTAAGACAGTAATTAATTAAGTAATTGAGTTAGTTAGGGCGAAAGGTTTTGGATTATTCTACTGGCAAGAGGTTATTTTAAGAGATATTTCGTATTTTATTATTAGAATATTATTGTTGTTACAAGATAATAATTAAAAAAAAAACTAAAGATTTCATGAAAAGAGAAATTTACAATGTATTTATACATGTTAAAGGTTCTATCATCTAGTCCTTCGATTTCTTTGAAATCCTAAATTATACTAATTAATATATTCCTTAAAATCTTCCGTGTAGAATTATTTCAGGTAAATCATTTCCGATTTATGTTAGTTTCCGTGATCTATAATTTACAATATCCATTTAGCATAGGTTTGGTTTTGACTCAAATAATCTTGCAGAAGGATCATGTATAAAATGCATTAATATATATATATAAAATAGGATGCGAAAGATTTAAATACCAATTACTGTTTGTTCTTTGTGATTTAGATGGGTTTATTCCTCTTCTTTTTTTCAAACAAGAATTCGTTTTCGTATGTCATTTCAAATTTTTCTTAAATCCATGTTGTGCACATTTGTTTAACATAATACTAACTTTCCAAGTTGTGAAATGCATACTAGAATCATCCTCCCCAGTATGATGTTTTCTTAAATTCAGAAGCTTTGGTAATTTTTCCACAATTGCTTCTCTATGGTCATGGAAAGCTTGGTTCATTCGATCAATGTATTCCTGCTCAATAGAGTATTCTTCTCGATAATCATGGAAGAAATCTGCTGTTCTTTCCATTAATTGGTCATACTCTTCTTGCAATCT